TTCGTGAACATCAGGCCCCCGGGGCTACGCTGCGATGCACCCGGATTGGGCTACAGTGCCTGGTCGCCCCGAGGGGCTTCCTGGCCACCGGCGTATTCCGTCTTGCTGAGGCGACGGACGGGAGGGTACAGGGGGCATCACCAGGATCCTCCTGTGTAAGGCTGTCTTAGGCAGAGCTCCCATCACCACTGAGATGTGTGAGCCGGCCGCTTCCAGCTGGCCGATACGGTCGGGTTTCCATGAACTTAAAATCCAGATAATATGGTAAGATGTCCACGTAAAGCAAGGCTTTGCGCATTTCTCTAAATCCACGTGAGTGGTAAATGTGCACGTGAAGCTTTGCGCATTTTTCTAAAATCCACATAGCTGGTAGATGGGCACGTGTTGCTTTGCCCATTTTCTAAAAATTCCACGTAGGTGGTAAATGGGCACGGGATTCTTTGCCCATTTCTCTAAAATCCTGTGAAGGTAAGGGTTACGCGTGCTGTCTTCGTTCCCTTTGTTTCAGAGTGGGGTAACACCCCGGTACCCTGGGTCCCACTCAAATGGTGTGTCTTGGTCGACACACCCTGGAGACATCACTCCCCTCACCTCTGAGGAGGGTGCTGGAGCTACTGTTCCCGACCGGCCATTACGTCCGGGTGACATAGAACCCTAAGGAAATCCGGAGATTAGGGTAAGAGTGCTCATATTGCGCACCTTCTAAAATCCACATGAGTGGTAAGTGTGCACGTTATCCTTTGCCACTTTTCTAAAATCCACGGAAGTGGTCAGTGGGCATGTTAGGCTTTGCCACCAGTCTAGAATTCCACCCAGGTGGTAGGTGTGCACGCTATGCTTTGTACTTCTCTAAAATCCCACGAAAGTGGTAGGTGCGCACGTTCTTCTTTGCCCACCCCTTTAAAAATCCTGTATGGTGAGGGTTACGCGTTTCGGACTTCGTTCCCTGTTTCGGAGATGGTTAGACCCCATAAGTAACCCGAGACGTTTCTTTCAGTTTGGGGGCCTGTGAGGACTGAACAGGACATGTTCACTTTATTTGGCTCTCGTTCTGGGAAACACTCCACCTCAAAACCTCCAATCCTGCTTAACTCAACAAAAGCTTATGAATGGCAAAAGTTGTTTAAGGACAATAAGGCACAGTCTGCAACATCAAAAGAAATGAGGGACTCTGGTTCATAAGAGCTAAAATGCACGGCCTGTCCAGAACCACTGATGCAATGTCCTGATAGCGTACGGCTTCACAAAAGCTCAACTATGTGCAACGATAACAGGGCCATAAATGCTACAAGTAGCTCTGTCCAATTGCTACACAAAAAAATGTCCCTCCACAGTTGGCTGATAACTATGCAATCACATTCCTGCTTTCAAACGATTGTTCCTAGTCAGATCTGGACACAATGTTTCAGAAGATGCCACAATGTAACAATTAGAAGCTTTTTAGGAGATCTGCCAGCCTTAATGAGGTCTCATTTGGAGTCTTGATTGTAATCAGCTTTAATTGGTTACATAAAAAAGGTAGATTTGAGATTTGGGCAAATGAAGAACTGAACTGAGCAACAGAAACGGGCTTTGTTAATAACTGATGTTGCTTACATAAGAAATAGCTTAGCTACTTAAGATTTGTTCAGCCCAAGTGCATGAGTACAATACTTGTAATAGAACTTTCCAGCACAATTGGTGTGCAGTTTTCTTCTTTGGTCTGAGGTAATCACCCTGAGGTTCAGCTAATTGCATTTAATATAAATTTAAACTATAATACATTTTCATTTAATTGCAATTAATATGCAATTAAGTGTCCAGAAATATAGCATTCATTTCACACAGTAAGTATATTCTTTTAAAGTATATTATTTCTGTAGTATACTGTTATTTAAAAGTATGGTAAAGTGTACTTCTTTTTCAAATGACAGAGTCGCACGTCTGTTTCAGGACACAAAGAGTTCTTAGGTTTTCTCAGGGGATCATGGGACAAAGTATGGTGGTCTGTCAGCCAGCTTAGAAAACGACAAAGACAAACCCCACAGTGGAGAGCCATCTCTGCTGCAAGGCTAATTTAAAATGAAGTCCTAATTTCCTGTATCAAAGCCAAACCAAAAATATTGAGAGGGGCCCAGACAGACGTTCCCTTTTCCACAAGCCACCGCAACTATCATAATATATTTATGCAGGGCCATTCCAAAATTAAACATACACAAGGAATATAGATTGAGCTTGTCATATAGCATCCAGTGAGGGAGAGAGAGTCCCGAGGGGGATGTTAGGACACACATGGGCAGTCTAAATATTGACCATCACGTGTGAACAAAATCACCAAGAGAGATGCCATTGATCTGGGATGGGGGAGATAAAGTAACCTGTAACCTCTTCTTATGTTGCAGTTCTCTGGCTTTTACCACCAGTGCTATTACTGTCAACTACTGTAAAACTAATAAAAATCTTTTTTGGCAACTGAACTAAAGCTGGAATATATATATACGTATATATATATATATATATATATATATATATATATATATATATACCTACAGTAAATATTAATTAAAAAAAATTTAAATGTAGCCAAAGATGAGAAATATTGAAGTACTAAAATTACTGGAATGAAAACTGAAAAAAAAACTAAAATATAAATATTAATAAAATCAAATGTGTCAGGACACAGAATCAACAACAGCACTGATGAAAATACTTTTCTTTTTTTTCTATTTTTATTGCATGCAAACTTTAATGAGATTTTACACCACTGATGGAAAGCAAGTTTTTCTTCAAATAACAATAAAATGTAAGTCTATTCCTCACACAAAGCTGTTGTATAACTACAGAATACTTAGAAAAATCATAAAATGTTTTGATACTTTTATGATGTTTTTTTTTTCCCTCATCAACTCCCAACTCCCAATTCACTTTACTTTTATGGAAACAAGCAACGTGAACATTCTACTAAATATCCTTTGTCTTTTTTTTGAGTTTGGAGAATATGAGTAAATAATGACAATTAAAATTTTTTGGTGAACTACAGTATTCCATTTTCATTTTGATGTTTCCAATAAAATATCGGAGGACATTGGAGGAAAAAAAAAACACTGAAAAGGGATGAATTTCTTACATTATAGATGTGAAAAGAGCAATGAACCATAAATAACTGTCACATCTATATTCTGAATATGAAGAGAGATATCATGTCTGGATATATGGGCTGTTGCTAGCCACCCTAAACCAAACAACAAAGACACACACACGAACTCCACATAATTGAGAGTTTGGGGCAGTTTGAGCCCTGCACTTAGATTGCAGTTTTATAGCATGGATAACTCCTATTACCCAGAGAGACACACACATTGTTTCCACTAGCTCAGAGTATCCTTGACAATACTGAAACCATGCATGTATTTCCGATCAGTCCAGACCGCAGTAAAATGCAGACCTCTCACAAAGATTGAAGAGGTGATGAGTGAAGATTTTCTAACCTAGACATGCACTGTGTGCTAAAATAGTTCATTAAACAGTGGATTTACAGTCAATACGAGTGAGTTGTTTACCTTGTATCTGGGGTATGTAGGGCGCTAATAATTTCCCTCTTTTCTTTTCATAGCCTTTCTGTGTGATGTCACCTACAGAGAGAGAGAGAGAGAGAGAAACAAAGGGATTGTGATGAATCATGCATTCTGTGTTTGAAAAGCAGGCATCACATTGCTCAGCATCAGCCCATCAGCCTGGCACAGCAGGGCACAGAGAAAGTTCACCAGCCCGCTGGTGTGCTGAGCTCTGCACGTCCCGTAAACATCCAACTACTGTTTAGTAACAGTAATGCCCTGAAAACTGCCTGCACACACATGAATTCCCAGTATAAAAAAACACAAATATAACAGAGGCTTCCAATGTTCACTCATACCTGAGCTTATAACTGTCCTTTTACTAAAAAATAACTTCATTTATCAAAAAACAACCCTGATGAAAAGTCAATACTACTACCTTAAGGAGCTTTTTATCCACTCTTACTCTTAAAAGTTACTTTTGTTGACGTAGCTAAATATAGTCAAGTTGATTCAACGATATGAAATCATATTTCATAATATGTGACAAAACACTTGTTATCTGATCATACATTTTTAGGTAACACAAGTTAACACATTTGTTTACTAGTACATCTTACTAGTTGCATATTAATGTGCATTTTACTAGTATATTTTGCTTGTTTATTAAAGCACATATGAATGCCTTATTCATGCAAGACCATATTTTAGATCCTTTAATCCTACCCCATACCTAAACTTAACAACTACCTTACTAACTATTAATAAGCAGCAAATTAGGAGTTCATTGTGGCAAAACTAGTTATTAGTTAGATAATAGTGAGAATTTGTTAAGCATCACAACTGCTTTCAACATAATAATAAGAAATGTTTCTTAAGCAGCAAATCAGCATATTAGAATGATTTCTGAAGGATCATGTGATACAGAAGACTGGAGTAATGATGCTAAAAATTCAGCTTTTCCATCACAGGAATAAATTGCATTTTAAAAAATCTATATGTTTTAAATTATTTTAAATTGTAACATTGTAACCATATTACTGTTGTTATTAAATTTTTTATCAAATAAATGTAGTCTTGGTGAGCATAAGAAACATTAGAAGAAGCATAAGAGCATAAGAGAAAACAAACAAGCAAACCTATACTTTTGAACAACAGACGAGAATTTGGAAGCATGCACTAGTCTAAAACAAATCTTCAAACCTAAACACATTACTTTTAGTGTACTGCAAGTCAGTTCTAGCAGATGTTTAATAAATCAGCTAAGAATTATTGCATTTTTACTCCAAACTTCATAGATAGTTATTAAAATATAATTTTACTGACACACTTGGATCGATTTTCCTCCTGATTATTCCACCAGCAGATATTGCTGATGGCAGTCTGGGCTCTGATACACACAGGCCTAATTACAGGCTGTCTGGGTCACATGCATTTTTATAAACTAATGGAGATCTTTCCGATCAGTAATGCCACCACAATGACACGGGCAGACCTCAGCCTGCCACACGTCAGTTACTCTTCAGTCACATGAAGAAGAAATAAACACTAAAAATCAAGCATATGAGAGATGAAAACATACGAATGCCAAATATAAAGCTGAAAACAGTAAAATGGTCCCATTTGTGACTGTCACGGTCAGCTGAGTGGTAGATGGATGGATAAATGGATGGAGTCTTTGCAATGGGGTCTGGAGTATATGAGATGTCTGACAGTTATTATAGCAAGTGCACAGCTGGGATTATTGACATGAAACCCACGATCAGACATTATAATGATAAAACAGGCCAAATAAGCATGAAATCAATGAACAACCCAAAGTGAACCAACCTATCAGGTCACGTTGAGTGGTTTGTAGGAGCATGACAGTGCTGTGACTGCATCAAAATTATGGATGGCCAAAAAGATCTGAGGATTGAAAATGAACTTGAATGCTGCTAAATGTGTCACATCGGTCCTGTTTGGGAATGTTGAAACCTTGTGTCGGGATGTTTATTCCCTTGTTATCCTGCAGCACCCTGCTTCACTCCAAGATCCCAGCCTGTAAAGGAGCTTTTTCTCCTCCAACAAAAGCCATATTGATTCAGCGTGGAGGCCACGGCCCTGCTGACTGACACCACTAAAGAAAAGTGAGGCTCCCAAACACTCTCTCTGACACATTCCCCTCCCCGCGCCTTTCCCAGCCGTACAGAGAGGATGATAAAAAGCGCTGGGAAAACATACCACTCAAACAGCTGGCTTGCCAATCAACACGCCTAACCTGAGGTTCACAACAGCCACTAAACCCCATAATTTTCCCTCAAAGATATGCCAAAGTTGATGACGAAAGCTAGAAACAAAGCTTGTCTTCGAGAAAGATAGATGAGTTCACAGACAAGCGGAATGACTGAGGTTTTCAGCGGGCGGCAGCAGAGGTGTGATCAGCAGACACTGTCGCAAGTGTGTACAGATGCCCCTGAGTCACCGTCAAGAGCTGAGAGGTCTACTGTCTCCAGAGGACAATAGAATAATTTGAGGAGGCACCAACTGATCAATCACAGGTGTGTCTAAAAGTCACATTTGCAAACCCATAACATGCCTTAGAGTAAAACAGGATATTCAGTGAAAAAGGAAATGTAAGATTATATATATATTATATATTTGTGTCCATTAAAGGCACAATATGTAAGATTTTTTTATTAAAATATCCAAAAACCACTAGAACAGTGTTATATATTATGCTGACTTGTGTACTTACATTATCCCAAATGTTTCGAAGAAAGTTTAAATCCAGAGAAATAAGCAATTTTAACTAGTGACACGGAGCGTGTCCATAGTATCATTGTGTCGCCTGCCAATGACGTCATAACCCCTCGATTTCCGGTTTTGTGTTGTGGAAAATATGGAAACACCAAAGACGCTTTAATATGTTGTGCGTTTTAATAGACTGGTGACGACCGCACAGAGTAGCATTATAACAGAACTTTCAAACGTATCTAGTATGATAAAACAGAGCTGCTTTACCCCACATACACACGACCGTCGCCTTTGTCTATTTGTTTATTTTGAAGTAGTAATAAAGTAAATAAGGTCAATTTGGAGTTCACATAGACATCACACCTCAAAGAATGCTTGCTAAAATGTGGTGGTTTTCAGAAAAATACATACACAGTTGGATTACAGTATATCAGCCAATAACAAGACCAGACAGAATGTTTTTTTTGTTTTTTTGCATTCTCTATGCTAATGTTGTGAGGTAACCTGCAGAATTATGTATAAAGTGTAGTCAAATTAGCCAAAAAAAACAAACAATTCTGCTGATGCAGACGTGCAGGTCTATAAGTAATAGGGCTCAAACTGTATTACTACACCCCTATGACATATGCAACCCAAGAATGCCTCGACTGCCTCTTTCTTTTCCTATACCATCATCATTCTCATCAACGTCATCATTACTGTGACTGCTGTCTATTGCCCATCACTCACTATTTTAAATGGACCTCTCAGTCTTGTCCCTCCATCTCCATAAAGTTTTCACTGCACACCAGACGTGTATTTATATACATTCCAGTCACAGACTGACCCAGATTTCTATCCTTAGGAATAATTTCTCATTCCGCTCGGAATGAGAAAATCTGGAGAGAAGAAACACCCCCTGACTCTCATTTATAGGTGCCAATCCATCTTGCCCTGGTGACACATGGGCTTTTGAGCAGCTCCAACTCAAAACTCCTTCAGATGACTGTAACTGACTGATAGCTATTGAACAGCACTTCTTTCCTACCAGAATGATTCATGTCATAGGACAATAACATCCTATTTCCAGTGGTTATAGGTCATTCCAAACATTTATGTCCACTGCTGACTACCGTCCAACACATGTGGAAGCATCAGTCTATTCAAGATATATTTTTGATACTTTCTTCAATCCAAGCTTAAAGGCTGGAATACACTACACAGATTACACAGATTTTTACTGTCTGGACGAGTTGAAGCCAGTTGCTGAAAATCATAGCCAGTCTGTAGAGTTTGGGAAGTCGGAGCTGACAGTTTTCACAGAAAATGGCGTAGTGTATGATGAGGACAGACTCCAGATTTTTTTGCTTCAGACTATGAATCCATCCAGTCAGAGGATCTCAAACATGTTTGATATTTTGAGCTGATTTTGGAACACATTTTGTTTTCATTTGTCATGCGTCTCATAGCATGTTTGACAAAAAAAAAAAAGTTTGGTGAGAAGATTTCTTTTAACAAGACTATCTCATTTTGAAACCAATTAATTATTATTTAATGTTTATGCTTCTGAGGAAATGCCAAAAGCTTTGTTTAATCCACAATAAGAATACGATGCTTTCAAAAATGTACACCCACACAAACCACTGCAGGTGCACATATTTCAGACAGGGATCTCACCAGACTTGTACGTTTTTGACACTTTAAACAGCCCCTACCACACCATCTGAAAGAGCCGGGACCCCCTGGGAACAGATGGGAGGGGCCGGGCGATTAGGCAACGTTTAGGCATGGACCATCACTATGGAAGCAGGGAGCTGCTCATGTCTGCATTCAGTCTATTCCAATCACATACAGTCTCAGAGATGCTATCAGCATGACAAATCTCCACCGTAAGGGAGAAAGAAAGAGCCAGGATCTGTTTGCCAGGCTTTTAATAATGATGCAGTAAACTGATAGAACAAAACCTCAATGATAAAAGAGTGTTCTTTTTCAAAACAAGTTAAGCTCTATCATTTTGACAGGTTTGTCAACAACAAAAAGTAATGTATTTATACTCTCATCATAAATGCATTATGGAGACAATCATATTGTATGCATGGGGTCAACAAATGTTTATAAAAAAAATAAGAGTAACAATAAATTAAAAATAATATTTTTAAGGGAAGGTACTACAGATAAATAGGTCACATAAAAATAAATACTTTGCCATAACAAATAATTAATAAAACTAATAAACAAGCTTCTTGTACTTAAAAAAACAAACAATATCTTTGTAATAAAAAAAATCTGAAATTACATGAGCAAAATCATTGTTTCCGATGTAACAATGTAGAACAAAAGCAATTCATGAAGAAGCCAACAATATTTGTAATACACAATAAATCGTGGCATTGTATATTACGAATATTGTTGTTCCTTCAATCTTAAAATATCTCTTCAAACTCTAGTACATTTGACATTTTTATATGTAAGGAAGAGGAGATGAGAGACAAATCTCCCTCTGACATGTAAATAAATATGCTTCTTGTCCTTTAAACACACACACACACACACACACACACACACACACACACACATTTGATATTTATCTGCAATATCTCTGAAAAAAATAAAAAATAAAATAACATGAGCAAAAATGTTGCTAACAATGCTAATTAAATTAGCAAATGGAAATAAGGAAATAAATAACCTTTAATCTTGAAAAATCTCTTCAAGCTCTAGTCCATTTGTAATGAATGTGTGAGGAAGAGGAGATGAAAGATAAATCTCACCCTCATCACCATCCCCCAAAACTATCTCGCTCTCTCCCTCTCTCTCTCTCTCTCTCACACACACACACACACACACACACACACACACACACACACAGTCTTTAACAGGATCCAATGTCCACATAGTGGCAGCTTAAATCACAAAACCACCGAATCTTCACCAGAATCACCAGCGTGACACGAGATGAACACAATAGGTCAGTGGACAAATCCATCAAAAATGATTTCCAGACAATAGTGAACCACACCTCTCTCCCAGCACTACACTCATCTGATGCCCACTGCACCGGCTTTTCCTGCTGCCATACATCAGGCCTGTGCCAGCCTGGCATAATCACTGCCAAACCCCATCTCTTCTGATCGGACACAGCGGGACAAACTGGTAGCAATTACTGCGGTTTACACAGTAATTGCAGTTATTTTAACTGTTGCCATCAAACTTTTCTGACAGAAAACATAATTGTTCCTGTGAATGACTCAAAGACCCCTGCTAGCATGGCAAAACCAGATGACTAATAATGAGCTTGATTAAAAAAAAAAAAAGCCCTGCATTCCTTAATCATGAAACAATTACTGATCTAATATCAAACACATTCAGCCCCATTTTTCAAGGACAGAATACTCACAAATGAGATATCGGTAATCTCAACTGTTTCCCCAAAACAGCAATGAGATTAAATGGAGAGCAAATAGAGATTATCCTACTTCTCAGTCTTTTTCCCAATGAAAAAGACCCCTGTAATCTCACATGTGTGTCCTCTAGAGTTTCAAAAGAGATCTCGATAGTGTCTCAAACTGTGCTCAGATTTACCAAGATACCAAATCTGCAATCCATCTCAATATAACCTCAAACATTTCTCAGATTATTCCATTACTAAATTATCTGAGCTCAATATTCTAACTGTATGTCTCATGTGTCTTTTTTTTTGCATTTCTATGCTAATGCTGTGAGGTATACTGAAGAATTCTGCATAAAGTGCAATTTTAGGAAAAAAAATCTGAGACAAAGTTGTTACCTCAATGAAACACAGCTGAGAACACAAGTCTCGTATCTCAATAACCTTTTCCTCTGAGGATGCAATTTACCCACAAGCGTAATAGAGAAAACTTGCCTACACTGAAAATATGGTAACCTTAAAGTGATAACATCGAAAATTAAATGGTTTTCGTCAAATCAAAAACATTTAACATCACCAAATCAATCTAAATACATACATTTATACCATCAAAACAAAAAATGGGTTAAATCAGGTAAATAAAACACACTGTAAAATAGTTTTCGAACGTTTATTGGAAGATCATTGGAGTAGCTTACATTAACTTTAAAAATTCACTTTTAATGAATTTACATTTATTAATTTAGTACATGCTTTTATACAGTGATCCGATGACTTACAAATGAGGAATACAACAAGCATTTGTGAAATTAACTAGCAATTTCTGACTAGCACTGTTTTAGAGTAGTTCTTTAAGGTAACATCTGCAGGTTACCACTTTCTACAATGTGTCAAAGTTTCCCGTCATCACCCACTTACCCCTCAATCAGCACATCTCGCCAGCGCAGGTGTGAAAAACTCTTCCGAGCCGATGCCAATCCAACACTCTTACAGAACGTCTAAAGCGCAGAAGTGTTTTCTCTGCTCTGGAAGTCTGTCTGCATCTCTGTGTGTCTGTCTGGCAGCAGGGCAGCCAAACCACAGAGTGGAGTCAGCAGCAGTGACGGCGCACGTGCCCACAACTCCTCCAGCCACGCAAGCCGCACACAGATGCAGTTCTGCAGAGGCTGTTCCCCCGCTCACATGCTGTAACCAGAGTCCCGTCAACTTCACAGGGCAGACGGAAACCAGAAACAGGCACAGAGCTATACGCTGAGGTCACGCAGGGTCAGATGATGCAGGGTGAGCGCTGAAGTCAGGCGCTTAAGGTTTGGAAACGCTCTTTGTTTCCTCTCAAAGAGAAGTGTGGAAACCTTTGCTGTCTCTATCTCTCTCTCACACACATTTCCTCCCGTCTGTCCTCCTCCCCCCAAACCTCAGCTCTCTCTCTCTCCTCTTGTTCCTCTATTACCCCTCCCCTCCATTTCTCTCCCACCCTCCTCTCATCTCAGGTCTGCACACAGAGCCCAGCCAGGCTGACTGATTAAAGCATTAAAAACGCTCCAACCCCCACCACCTATAACACAATTACACAAATAAAGGTTCTTCAGAGGATCTTTGCAGCACCTTAGCATCGGCAAAAAAGAATCTTCTTATTTTTGAAGTATAAGGTTCTAGAGTCATATGCATTAAATATCTTAAAGAATCTTCAGATCAACTTGATTGAAAAATGACCTATACCTCATGTCATTTCAACCCAACTTTCGTTGTGACATAACATTTGAGAATTTGAAGAGCTTTGAAGAATGTTCAAGCTGCTCTTTACAAGACAAATGAAGGTGAATGGGCCGATGCCAATCCAACACTCTTACAGAACGTCTAAAGCGCAGAAGTGTTTTCTCTGCTCTGGAAGTCTGTCTGCATCTCTGTGTGTCTGTCTGGCAGCAGGGCAGCCAAACCACAGAGTGGAGTCAGCAGCAGTGACGGCGCACGTGCCCACAACTCCTCCAACCACGCAAGCCGCACACAGATGCAGTTCTGCAGAGGCTGTTCCCCCGCTCACATGCTGTAACCAGAGTCCCGTCAACTTCACAGGCAGACGGGAACCAGAAACAGGCACAGAGCTACACGCGGAGGTCACGCAGGGTCAGATGATGCAGGGTGAGCGCTGAAGTCAGGCGCTTAAGGTTTGGAAACGCTCTTTGTTTCCTCTCAAAGAGAAGTGTGGAAACCTTTGCTGTCTCTATCTCTCTCTCACACACATTTCCTCCCGTCTGTCCTCCTCCCCCCAAACCTCAGCTCTCTCTCTCTCCTCTTGTTCCTCTATTACCCCTCCCCTCCATTTCTCTCCCACCCTCCTCTCATCTCAGGTCTGCACACAGAGCCCAGCCAGGCTGACTGATTAAAGCATTAAAAACGCTCCAACCCCCACCACCTATAACACAATTACACAAATAAAGGTTCTTCAGAGGATCTTTGCAGCACCTTAGCATCGGCAAAAAAGAATCTTCTTATTTTTGAAGTCCAGGTCTGCACACAGAGCCCAGCCAGGCTGACTGATTAAAGCATTAAAAACGCTCCAACCCCCACCACCTATAACACAATTACACAAATAAAGGTTCTTCAGAGGATCTTTACAGCACCTTAGCATCGGCAAAAAAGAATCTTCTTATTTTTGAAGTATAAGGTTCTAGAGTCATATGCATTAAATATCTTAAAGAATCTTCAGATCAACTTGATTGAAAAATGACCTATACCTCATGTCATTTCAACCCAACTTTCGTTGTGACATAACATTTGAGAATTTGAAGAGTTTTGAAGAATGTTCAAGCTGCTCTTTACAAGACAAATGAAGGTGAATGGGTTTGAATGCTATCATTGATAAATGATAAAAAGCACCATAATAAAATGTTTTATGAGCATTTTTTTTATGTTTTGATATTTTATTATTAATAAGTTTGGCAACACTACAGTAAGTTTTCATTTGTTAACTTAATGCATTAGATATTACTGTATGAACTTAATATGAACAACAACTTTTTTTACAGAAATTATCAATCTAGGTAAATGTTAATTTATATATATTATTGGTCATTGTTAATTCATGTTTGTTCACAATACATGAACTAATGTTAATTTATTCAAAGTGAACGGTTTAAAATGTATTAGGATATGTACAAATATTAATAAATTACAGCAAAATTAATAAACACTGTAATAGTATTATTCATTGTTAATTTATGATGCCTAATGCATTAAGGGATGTTAAGAAATTGAGCCTTATTGTAAAGTGTTACCATAATTTTTTCTTTTTTTGACTCAAATGTTTGTTTATTTTTTTATTCATTTTTTTACTTTTGATATCTTTTTTTTGTCATCTTGTCTTTCTTATGTAAAGTTGCCTTTAAAGGCGCTATATAAAAATATCAATTATTATTACTCACAGAAAATCTTGCTGATTTGCAGCTTGACATATTCAAATTGTCGAGACATGCATCAAACAATGACATTTGGCATCACTGATGTGCCATATTTGAACATATGTGAATGCAAATGAGATTAATAGCAGCAAATAATGGCTTGCAATGAGTGTTACATGACTTCTTTCTTATCATTTCTGGAGCTTGACAACGTCTGTCCCCATTCAGTTTTATTGTGTGGACAAGAACATAAAACCATGAAAGAACATCATAGGGTTTGGGTTTGAAATGACATGAGGTCAATTATAAGATTTTTTTTTTTAGATCAATTTTTCATTTAAAGCAGCAGTAAATAGCTTTTTGAAAAAGAACTAGAGAATTTTTTTTTTTTTAATCTCATAAAACGTATTTGATGAGATTAAAAAGCGTCTACAATGCTTCCTATCAGGCTCTAAAACACTTTCTGTTCTTACTGAATCCATTATTTACACATAAACAAACACACACTCAGCTACATAACAAACCTTCACATAACACGCAGATAACACAAGACACACCTGTCATGTCAAAAAGTCATGCAGGACACAGGAGCTGCATTCATTGACTTTGCAGCCAGTGTCAGCACCCTTGTTACTGAGGAATCCCAGAGCTGAGGAGACTATTGACCCTCCGGTGACACTGTGACATTGTGTGATCTTGTTAGGGAGAGAAAGAGAGCAGTGTTCTCCTATCTGTTTTAGTGCGACCACCACCCAACGGAGGAGGATACCAGACATACTGGAAACACAGAACACAAGCTAAATGTGACATTTCACATGATATTTTCAAAGAACGTATATCACAAGAAGCTCAAAATGCTGTTCATTCAGGTCTATTACTCAGACTAAATGTAGATGATGAAAACATGGTGAAAAAATTCAGTAGTACCTCTAAATCTTATTTTTGAGATCTTTCTAGATGAATCACAGAGCAAGGACCCTTTGAGATGGCTCTTTGTGGCCAAACATGATCATTAAGTCTAGGGATGCACCGATATGAAAATTTTGGCCGATACCGATAACCGATTATTCTTTATTTTTGAAAGCCGATAACCGATATGTTGGCCGATAAATCTATATCCAAATTGTTATATACTTTTTGAGAGCCTGATTACAAAAAAGGTCTCATCATTAAAAGCCACATCCCAAACACTTCAACATAAGCAGCCTAGTTTGAACGGTGTACGTTTTAAAAATATTTTTACTCTCCCATTACCAAATTTAGTCATAAAGTCTTACAAATAAATAAAATTATGCATAAATAATGCAAACAAGTCACTGGACATCATTACACGTGT